GAAAAAAAAAAAATCTGGGCCGGCCCGTGGCTCACTCGGTAGAGTGCGGTGCTGATAACACCAAGGCCACGGGTTCGGATCCTATATAGGGATGGCCGGTTTGCTCACTGGCTGAGCGTGGTGCTGACAACACCAGGCCAAGGGTTGAGATCCCCTTACCGGTCATCTTTTAAAAAAAAAAAAAAAAACATCCAGGGCTGGCCCGTGGCTCACTCGGGAGAGTGTGGTGCTGATAACACCAAGGCCCCAGGTTCGGATCCCATATAGGGATGGCCGGTTAGCTCACTGGCTGAGTGTGGTGCTGACAACACCAAGTCAAGGGTTAAGATCCCCTTACCAGTCATCTTTAAAAAAATAAATAAAAAATAAAACATCCGTTGGTGTAATAAATTGACTCAAAAGGGACAATTTGGAATTGTTCAATCTTCCCAGATCTTTTGTGTGATAATCTAATTTTATGACAACAACTGTGTGTCATTTTTTGCATCTTTTGGAAATTCAGGAAACTGTCACGCTGACCAAAATATCAAAAGAGAAAGCAAAAGCCGCACCACTATGCCAAGGCAGAGATTGTTACAGTGAAAGCAAGTGCTGGTAGCTGGGGCCCTGCCAGCAGCTTTCCCCCTGGGGCCTTGCCAACTCGGAAAGAGCAGCCCAAGCTATTCTTTTCAAGACCCCGCCATGGCGTGGACCACGCCAGAAAAACGGGGCATTTAAGAGGTGATTAGATTGTGAGGACCATGCCCTCCTGAAGGAATTGATCCATTCATGGAATAATGGGCATGGTTCTCACAGCTTTAAAAAGAGAGGGAGTGGGCCAGCCCGGTGGCGCATTGGATAGTGCGCCGCTTGGGAAGCACGGCGGCGCTCCCGCCTGAGGGTTCGGATCCCACATACAGACCGGTTCCCGCTCACTGGCTGAGCGAGGCGCGGGAGCAACGCCGAGGGTTGCGATCCCGTTGCCGGTCCCGGTCCGGTACGGGCGCGACACTGAGGGTTGCGATCCGTTGCCAGTCACGAAAAAAGACAAAAAAAAGAAAAGACTGCAAAATTCCAAATCCCAACTGAGGGACAGTCTGCAAAATGCCTGAACAGTACTTCTAAACACTGTCAAGGTCATCAAAAACAAAAAAAGTTTGAGAAATTATCAGAGCCAAGAGGAGCCTAAGGAGACAGGACAACTGTCAAAGAACAAAATTACAACAAATTTATTTCAAGATCTCAGTTGGCTTTGTTGTGATTCTAGAATCAGGGCAACACATTATTCCATAAAATAGGTGTCCCAACGAGGAGGTTGATTTTGGGGGGTGGGGTGGGCAGAGGGGGGGAGTGACTGGCTGGTATGGGGAATCCAAATCCTTGACCTTCGTGTTACAAGGCTGTGCTCTAACCAATTGAGCTAAGCAGCCAGCTCCCTCTGCCCTGATCCTTACACAAAAAAGATAGCCTGAAGTAACCCGTGATAAATAACTAGTTATTTTTCTATTGTTCTATCTCCCTGTCCCCACCTTACAAGAAAAAATAACTTTGAAAAGTAACTAATACATTTTCTGTTCTTTGCTTCTTCTTTCTTCAGCCCTTCTCTGTCTATAAAGCCAACCTCTGTTACTCAGCTCATAGGAACACTTATTCTATTTCATGGAATAAACTGTTGCCTGATCCTAGAATTGCAATAAAGACAATTGAAATCTTTAAAACAAATTTGTTGTAATTTTGTCTTTTGACAGAAACATCGTGCTATCTTACCAATTTTTCTGTAAATCTCAAATTATTCTAGGATGCAAGTTTTATGAAAAAAATTACTTGAACCCCCCCAAAAGAAAAAAAAATTACTAGAACCTAAACTTAAGAGCTAAAACTCTAAAATTCTTAAAAGAAAACAAGACAATTCATAACATTGAATTTGGCAACCATTTCTTGGCTATGACACCAACAAAACACAGGCAACAAAAGAAAAAATAGATAAATTGGGCTTCATCAAAATTAAAAACTTCTGGGGCCGGCCCGTGGCTCACTCGGTAGAGTGCGGTGCTGATAACACCAAGGCCACGGGTTCGGATCCCATATAGGGATGGCCGGTTCGCTCACTGGCTGAGCGTGGTGCTGACAACACCAAGTCAAGGGTTAAGATCCCCTTACCGGTCATCTTTTAAAAAAAAAAAAAAAATTAAAAATAAATAAATAAATAAATAAATAAAGTGCTGTTAAGAGACTTTAGAATGGGTGAAATAAGCCCTATTTATTTGCTTTTTCCTTTTTTATGTTTTCTACTAGCCTTTCTCCCTACTTTTCCTTGGATAACACAGGGTAGGAGAGCTCAAGTCTAAACTCTCATCAGAACAGGAATGCAGCTAGGTGACATGAGGCAAGCCGCGCTTCAGTTTCCTCAGCTTAAAATGAGAACAGAATCTACCTTATGGATAGTAGTCTTAGTGCAGTGTGTGGCATGTAGCAAATCATCAGTAAATGTTAAGTATTTGCTACCTAGGCCTTAAGCTACCAGTGACATCCTGGTAATGACCCTTGAACTAAAGAGGTTACTGACCCAGGACAAAAGTGCAATTGTTACATAAGATAAAATTATGGTCAATCCATAACATGAAAATAGCATAAACTACACAAAATTTTGCCTTTTTATATTAATTTCTACTTTTCTACAGTAGTGTCAACAATTTCTACTCCATTCATTCAGAATTTATAATGCTTAAGTTTACTACTTAATATTTTTCCTAAATTGTTGACAAAAAAAATCCATAAGCACAAATCCAAACAGAGTACTATTTAAGAAAAATTTTCAAGGACATCTAACTTTTAGGAGCTTTCTTTACATATAATTTGTGTGTATTACCTATTTAATAAAGAAACATTTCTACAAAACAACACTGTGCCAAGCTAGTGCTAGTTAGTGTATGTTCTGACAGGAATAAATGACTTATAAAATAGCCTATAAGTCAGAAAGGGAATCACACAAATTAAATCTATATAACGAAACTTATGTATTTACATTTGCTGATAAGTTAATGTCAGATTAAATGTATCTATCTGGCCTTTCAAATTGCAGAGCCCAGTAAACCAATCAAGAAAAGGGATTATAACTTCTTTTAATTCCTCATCCACTTCAGGACCTAGTACAGGATTTTCAGGCAGCTGGCATTCAACAGATATGACTAATACAAATTAAAATCCAGTCTCAGAAGATCCCTGGAGGAGCCCTGCAGGAGGAAGGTGGAGAAGAAAAGGTGGAATGCCCATGGAGAGTCCACCCCAGGTTCCGGTTAAAAAAGTGACTGCACATTGTGTGATGGGTAGTTAACTAGGAACTGAGGCAAACGGAGCTCACAAACTCCCTTAAAAATGTAGGGCCTAACAGGCCGGCAATGTTACCAATGCAGTGATTCTCCTGCTCACTGATTCAGAATCTCTAGTAGTAGGGCCTAGTGTATTTTGAGAACCTCCCTAGTAATTCTGACAATTAGCCAGGTTTGACAATCACTGTGTGGAAAGAAGAGTTCCATGTGATGAGGTGATGGCTTGTCTTAGCTATGCCACTCATAGCTGAGAAGCCCTAGACACCTTACTCTAAAACTGGGGTAATGACAATACCTAAATAAAGTTACTGTAGGAATCAGGAGAAGGTGTGGAAACACGTCATAAAACAAATAAGCTCTGTGCAGACCACACAGAGGCTACCCTCTCCTCCTGCTGGTCCTACAGCTTCAAATCCATCCAGTTTGAAGTAGTGCTCTTTGTGCTCTCTCTCTCACAGACAAATTTCCTTTACCTATGTCTGATGAAGAGTCAGGATCAGAAGTAGGGAGCAAGACATTAACCAATTTAGAATCATATTCCAAGAAGAGGTCACATGTCAGGAAAGACATCCAAATGGTGGTGAAGTTGTTGGTAATAACCAAGTCCATCATTTTTACTAAAGCTGTGTGGCCCCCTGTGTATAGTACTTAAAACCTCTCTTTATTTCTCAATATAAAAATGAGAATGGAAAACATATCAAACTCACAAGGTTGTTCTGAATTTTAAATGAGATAGATAGACCATGAAAAGTGCCTGGTACAAGCCTGGTATACTGTACATACTAAATATTAACTATCGGTCCTGGAGAAATTAAAGTTCAAAGCACTCAGAGACTTGACCAAGATTTGACAGTGAATAAATGCGGAGTCAGATCTTCTGACTTAAAAGTCTCTCTTGGGCTGGCCCATGGCTCACTCGGGAGAGTGCGGTGCCGATAACACCAACGCCAAGGGTTTGGATCCCTATACAGGGATGGCCGGTTAGCTCACTTGGGAAAGCGTGGTGCTGACAACACCAAGTCAAGGGTTAGGATCCCCTTACCTGGCATCTTTAAAAAATTTTTAAAAATTAAAAAAATAAAAGTCTGTCTTTTCTGGGCAGTACACGAGACTGATGCAGATCCAACAGGAGTCCTTGAGGGGAGAACCAACCCATATCATGGGTGGGTGGGGAACCCGTTAGGAGGCAAGTGTAGGGCATTTGGGTCTGACATTAGTAGTCATTTCTATGCTCCTGCTTCAGAGCCTTCCTTGTTCTTTGAGGCCCCCAGTTCTTTCCATCTCTAGAGGTCTCAGTCGAGGATAGACTATGATCCACATGGAAGAAAATGAGATTGGTGGTAAAGCCTTAGGGACCTGTCATCTGCACACCTACACTTAGGGACACTGGAAGTGTGAAACAGCAGTGGCCTGCTCTCCAGGAGATGAAACCCAGTGGTCTGGCATCACTGGCTTTGCCCTATTTGCTCTAAGGAAGTCAGCTTTCCCTGGTCTTCTTCACTGTGTCTGCTTTGTTTGTGCACAGGATCCTTCTCATTCTAACCTCCAGAAAGTGCTTAGATAAGGAGAATCAGCTCACCAGTACATGAAGTTTTTTGGAAAAAAGAGATCTTTTTTTTCCCCCAGCTCCCCGTACTTCCTCTTCACCTTCGCTAAACTCCCATCCTCTCTCTTTACTTTCTCACCTTGTACTCCTGCACCACTTCCTCCAATGGCACCACGCTGTGCTGTTTGTGGCTCCTGGATTCTCGGCACACCACACAGATGGCTTCTTCATCCACCTCGCAGAAGAGCTTTAGGGCTTCTTGGTGTTTTGGACAGATACCCTGCTCATTCACACGGCTCCCTCGACCAGGGGCTGGGTGCATCTGCCTTATCACCTGGACCATGTTGGCCAGCTGCAGGTTGGGGCGGAAGCTCCGCCGAGGAAAGCTCTTTCGACACTGGGGGCAGGTGAAGCACCTCCGAGGGGCTGGAGGTGGGGGCACTGGGGTGACCGGGTCTAGCTCCTCTTCCTCGTCCTCCTCCAGCACTTCCTCCTCGTCCTCCCCCCTCAGGTCCTCCTCCATGTCCCCCAAGTAGTAGTCCAGGTCTTCCTCCTCGTCCTCCTCCTCCCACACGTAGTCCATGTTGTCCCAGCTGGACCCGCCCATGCCACTGGTCCAGAACACACCCTCCTCTTCCTCCTCGACCTCCTCTTCCATGTCACCCTCATAGTCTTCTTCCCGCATGGGGGTGTCCCATCCCCCGCTAGCCTCCACAGCCTCTACTTCCTCCTCCTCCCCGTCCTCCTCCTCCTCCTCCTCCCCGCCCCCCCGGTCTAACTCATCCCTGTCCTCCTCATCCTCCCCGCCCCACAACTGGGTTACACACACTCGGCAGAAGTTATGCCCGCAACCGATGGACACGGGGTCTGTGAAGTAATCGAGGCAGATGGCGCACACCGCCTCCTCCTGAAGGGTCTGCACAGGGTTGGGTGTCATGGCAACGGCAGCCATCTTAGTGTCCAGTCAGCCAGTGTAGATGTGCGGCGGGAGGGGCGGGAAGGGGGACAGGGACCTTTCCTCTCAGACTCCCTGGCGACCCGGTCCCACCCCCAGCCCTGCTCCTCCACACCTTGCCTCTAGCCCAGCCAGAGAAACGTCCTCCCGACAACCCACCCCTCCACAGAGTTCCCTACTCCCAGACAACAACCGTGTCTCCGCGAAGGGGAGAACAGAGATCAGCGCCACCGCCAAGCCCCTCAGGTGGCCCTGAGTGCAAATCTGCCCCAACGCTCCCTTGGCCTCCACATCACCCCCCCGCCCCTCCTCACTTCCTGGCCCCACCCCCTCGCTTCCGGCCTCTCTCCAACACTTCCGGCGCCTGCACACCACCGAAGCTCGCGAGTTCCCTCCACGGTCGCGCTACGCCTCTTCTCCTCAACCCCACCCCTCCCCGCACCCTTCGCCTGGCCCCACCGCAACAGGAAACCGCGAGGGGACGCTCTAGCAGGCACTTGGGAAGAGGGAGGGAGGGCTAGGACGGTGGAGGCCCACGTCTCTGTGAACCGGGAGAACGGGGAACACGGGCAGGACAGGACCTCCCACCCCCATCCGCCGCCACTGGGGAGAAACTTGGGGCAGTGGGAACATTTGGTGGCCGTCTGTTTTCCATGCTATGACCGTATCGCTCCGGCGCCATCCTTCCCACCGGGCACGGACGACTGCAGCAAAGGGTCCCCACAGCCGATGCCGGAAGCGGAGGGGCGGCCCCGGTGAGCGCTGTGAAGTACTTCCGGTCTCTCTAGGCGGAGAACTTTGTTGTTTGAGGACTCCGGGTCCCTCCAAATCCGATCAGAGGGCGGGGGCAGAAACAACCCTGCTCCCCGACTGTAGTTGGCATTTCTACACCCGTTTTAGAAACTGCCAACCGGTCATTGTCGGGTCATTTGGATGAACTTCCCTAAGTGCCCATCAGCAAAGGAATGGTGACAAATCGTTACATCCACATTCCACAGTGGAACACTCTAGCCGTAAAAAGGGAAACCTCTTCAAGATGTATTTAAGCAAAAAAAAAAAAAAAAAAAAAGGGGCTGAACAGGGGG